AGGCAGCAACTACATTTTATTTGCGGATAATGCGGATCACAAAGCTTTAAGCACATCTAGCGAATTTGAAGCGGAGAGGTGAATAAATATGTACGAGCAATAACACAGGCAAATTTCTAGTCAAATTGTATTATGGCGCAGCAAGGCGAAGCGTAGACCAATAGTAGGATTTTAGTACATATACACATGTGAATGAGGATGAATCATCTAGTGATATTTAGACAATCAACATTAGCTAGAGTAGTGATCGCAAAGCCACCACGAAATATGCGAATTGTTACTGATCAAATAACATTTTCTGTTAAATAAGCCAATGAAAAGGCCCAACCAAGATTAATCATAATCGAAACTGGTTGTATGATAGTTGCTATATGACTATCTCAGAAACTCTTTAGTGTTGAGTATATCTTTGAGTATTGTTTGTATCCATAAATTTTAAAGTCCTTATTCTACCTGCCGATTAGACCTCAACAGCAGTAGGTCTCAACATACACAATGGGTAAAGCAAGATTCTCCGATACAACAAACAATGCAACAATCCAGTCACAACTGACGGAGAAGATTTGGAAGATGTAAAAATTTTTATATATCTAGGCAGCATCATTGATGAACACGGTGGATCTCATGCAGATGTGAATGCGTGGATCAGCAAAACAAGAGCAGCATATTCACAACTGAAGAACATCTGGAACTCAAAACAATTGTCAACCAACACCAAAGTCAGAATTTTCAATACGAATGTCAAGACAGTTCTACTGTATGGGCAGAAACCTGGATAACAACGAAAGCCATCATCCAGAAGATACAGGTGTTTATTAACAGTTGTCTACACAAAATACTTCGGATCCGTTGACTGGACACTACTAGCAACAACGTACTGTGGGAGAGAACAAACCAGATCCCAGTGGAGGAAGAAATCAGTAGAAGTGATGGAAGTGGATAGGACACACATCGAGGTAAGCATCCAACTGTGTCACAAGACAAGATCACACATGGAATCCTGAAGGTCAAAAGAAAAGAGGAAGACCGAAGAAACATTACACTGGCAAATGGAAATAGATATGAGAAGAATGAACAAGAATTGGATGGAATTGGTAAAGAAGGCCTAGGACAGAGTGTGTTGGAGAATGGTGGTCGGCGGCCTATGCTCCATTAGGGGTAGTAGGCGTAAGTAAGTAAGGTACAGCTATTAACAAACCTCTGTTTTTGTTAGTGGTCAGTGTCTATCACTTATCAAGCTTCAAAAGACACTTCGTCAGTTTTCGCTGTGAGACCACAAAACAAATCTATGGCGAAAGTAAAACATCGTTGTGGCAGACCCGCATGCTATTTGCAAGCCATTATCACCTTGCCTGTGCAAAGCATGTTGTTCTACAAAGTTTCCGCCTATTCTAGAGTCGGTTGATCTGCTGAACACAGCTAGAAAATTGCCCTCAGATAAACAGGCAGCAGTAGATTGGCATAATTCTGCTTTCGAGGAAATAGAGAGCGTTATCATGAACCCAGCTCTGGATCTGAATGAGACCATAAAGGTGGATCTCATCAGGCAAGTAGATAACAGGCATACTGATGTAGGCATTGTCACAAGCAAAAAGAAAAAGCCTGCTGAGAATAGATTATTTATAGTTAGTTTTAAGGTATGTGAATCTACGTAACTGCGAGTAAGCGAAGTTTTATCGGTGTAGAATTTGTGATGAAGCGACAAAATAAGTTAACTGATTGGCTCACAGTCACACACAGGAAAGAAAAGTAAGAAAACAGAATGTGACCTCTGTGTTTGACGCCGAATTGGAATCAGATTGCGAGAAAGAGACGATTTCAGTAATTGACATTCCATAAAATGTTAAGACGGACCTCGCTGACATGTCAGTCATCTTTCATAAGTTAAGTGAATCATAAGTGAATATTCTCGTACATATACTAGAGAATAAGGATGCATCATTGGATTCCCAACCTAAATAAAGAAAGAAGAGGATCTAAAATGATAGACGAAGATCAGAAAAAAAGCAGAGGCTATGGCTGACTATTTTGGGACAGTTTTCACTCTCGAACCAGATGAAGAAGTAGACCCAAATACAAAGTCAACAAACCAACTGCTGACTGTGAACTTTGATTGAAACAATGTACTTAAGGCTCTTGACCACTTAGACATGGAAAAGTCAAAAGGACCAGATGAACTACACCCCGAAATCCCGAGACATATTACACAGTATATCGCAGCCCCACTGACTGTGATATTCAATATATCACTTGACCAGGGTGACCAAGGTTACCTATGGACTTGAAGGATGCGATCGTCACTCCCACACATAAAACAGGACCAAAACAGCTCCCACCGAACTACAGACCTGTCAGCCTCACCAGTGTTGTAGTTAAAGTATTGGGAAGAATGGTCAAAAAGATCATAATGACACTTGTGGAAACCAACAACTTGTTAAACAGAGAACAACATGATTTTAGAAAGGGTTTATCTCGCACAACAAACCTCCTTATAGCAAGGGAGCATTGGATAAACGCGCCAGACAATGGAAACTCAGTGGATGTTGTCGACATAGACTTCAGTAAGGCTTTTAACAAGGTACCAACTAATAGACTGCTATTGGAGTTGGAAAACCTTGATATTGCCGGACCTCTTTTAAAATGGATTAAGGATTCCCTGGTAGGTCGTAGACAGAAAGTAAGAATAAATTCCAGGTGCTCCATCTGGAGACCAGTACTTAGTGAGGTACCTCAAGGTTCTGTCCTAGGTCCTTTACTCTTTATAATGTATGTTAATGATCTACCAAATATAGTACAGCCTCCAATGTTATTATACGCTGACGATGTAAAGATCTGGCGAGTAATAACTGGAAACGGACGCATGTGCTCTTCAGGCAGAGTTAAATAATATGATTAACTAGTCTAACGAGTGGCTGATGCTTAATGACGAGGCAGAGTGTGTCTACATGCCCTTTGGGAATACAAAAGTTAATAGGTACAGCATAGGAGAAGTGCCTGTACCAGTGGTCTATTCTCATAAGGATCTTCAGATTCAGATTTGTGTAGTAAGGGCAGAAGGCCTACGGCCTATGTTATTCCTATTCTAGTATGCTTCTGTGAGTGTCCAGTCTTCTCTTGAAAGAGTCAACTGAAGGTGCGGACACCACTGCTTCAGGCAGCAGGTTCCAAGTATTGATGACGGGGTGTGAAAACCTGTATGCCACGGGTATTTTGTTCGTTCTTGGTTTTTCTACTCGCCCGCTATGTCCTCTAAGGTGTCCCGATCTAGTGGGAAGAAAGAGGGAGAATATGTTAGGTCTGAACTCATTTTTCAGTATTCTGCACATCAAAATTAGATGCCCTCTGTACTTTTTCTAGTATGTCCGAGTCACCTTTTAAACAGGGGCTTGCAACCTGAACGCAGTTCACTAGCTTAGTTCTCACTAAGGATGTGTATATTGTGGTGAACATGATAGTATCTAACTTAGTGAATGTCTTTTTTAAAGCCCAGAGCGTTCGAAACCCCTTGGCTGCGACCTCCTGGCAATGGGCCGTCGTCTTAAGATCATTACTCACTGCCACCCCTATATCCTTATGAGACCGGACTACGGGTAATGACACATCCCCTATGTTGTACCTATTAACCTTTGAATCCCCAAAGTGTATGTAGGCACGCTTTGCCGTGTTGATAGGCATCAGCCATTCTTTAGACCAGTTTATCATATTATTTAAGTTTGCCTGAAGAGTAAATGCGTCTTTGTCTCCAGTTATTGCTCGCCAAATTTTTACATCGTCAGCGTATAATAACATTGGGGACTGTTCTATTCCTGTAAGATCATCATCTTGGAGTGACAGTGACTCGTGGTCTTCAGACCACGGCCCATCGCCGGAAGATCGCAGCCAACGGGTTTCAAACCCTCCGGGCCTTAAAACAGACGTTCACTAAGTTAGATACTATCATGTTCACCACAGTATACACAACCTTGGTGAGAACTAAGCCTGAAAATTGCGTTCAGGCTGCAAACCCCTGTGACCCGTATATCCTGAAAAAGTACGGAGGACTGCTACCTGTGCGATTCTAGAACTCCGGGGTTTACCAATAAAAAGAGCGATTTGAAAAGCTATAACTCTTTACTCTGTCCTATCACAGACTAAAAGGTGATCTTATATTGATGTGTAGAATACTAAGAAATGATTTTGAACCTAATATATTATTTTTCTCCCCACTAGATCGGGACATCTCAGAGGACATAGCAGGCAAGTAGAAGAGCTAAGAACGGACAAAATACCGGAGGCACACAGGTTTTCACACCAAGTCATCAATTTATTAAACATGTTACTCGAGGCAGCGGTGTCCGCAGCTTCAATAGATTCGTTCAATGGGAGTCTGGACACTCACAGAAGCATACTAGAAAAGGAATAACATAGGCCCTAGGCCTTCTGTCTTTACTACACAAACCTGAATCCAAAACAATTCACGAAAATGTTAGGAACATCGGGCTACCAACTAGACATGATCTCTATTACTAAGGTTTGCTAATATTAGCAAACTTACAATTTGATGATTCATGAATACTTTTCTCCGCTACGTGACACATATCTGAACGTGGCTGATATCAGTGAGGACGTATCTTACTGATAGGACCCATTAATGAGTTATATTACCTTATGTTCTTCTTTCCAACAAGTCTCAAAATTGTCCCAATTTGTAAATTTAAACAACATAATATCATCGAACATTTGTAGCGTGGCGTCGAGTTGAGGTTAACTATGAACACCACTACCAAGAAACACGTGCCAAGTTAATCAGAAGGCGAAGGTTGGACGTAACCAAATAAATCCAGAAAATCCCCGAGAAGCCAAATATCAGAAGACAGTTAATGGACCAAATCGAGATGTATTCGCTGGCGATCTCGTGACATCGAAAAGATACCGAGATCGTGCCAGAATACAAGCTTGGTTACAGAACGTAACCGAATTCGCGCGAAGTTACAATCAAAGTGTAAGTAAAAGTCGTGTTCTCGTGATAAATGTGAGTCACTACACATTCATCCTGTATCATGCATCATTACGATGGCACCACTTTCGTTACTTGAAGGTTGGGCTTTATTAGACACAGTGTGGCTAAACTCAATTCAAATCTAAAAATATCTTGATTTGACCGCTTGTGCAAAACCTTACGAATTGTCGAAGTTACGCACCAATCGTTTTACGATGGTTTGACCTTCAACCTCCTCAGTGGACGGTACTTTTGAAGGGTTGTCAAAAAATCAAGGCAGCATACCATCTAACGGGTCGCTTCGTGTTATCCGTGTACAGAATCTCCGCTTTCACTTCAGTTCTGGAGGGTCGTGAAAACTGAGGTGAGGTGGTTTTAAATAAGTATCTTCTGAATTGTCTCGTAAAATTGATGTAGATGATGGTTTCAAAGTATTTCAGTGACATTAATATCCTCGCCCAGTGAAGTAGAGAAAATTGAAGTCCTGTAAGGCAGACGTACTGGCCGGAACTCCATGATAACTCATCTTTTGTCTGATACAATGGTAGTTTAGTTTGTAAGTCGCTCACCAATCAATTAACATCTGATTGTCAAGCCTAATTTCCGACATTGTATTGCCTCCCCCACAAAATGATGTGTGGTACTTCTGTAAGTTAGATAAGACGGTGGTACTGTTGACTTGTCGCGTATTCTTTTGCTCCCTTGTGACTTGTTTTTGTTTCTTTTACGGACTGCGACCCCCTATTAACGTTAGGTAATTAATGTTAAATACTCTTCATGTACTCCGTGCCTCGGTTTGATTCATTACGATGCTAGTACTTGAAAACATTAATGCTTCTCGCGATATTGTTTACTACGTGTATATATGTGTGTGGGAGTTAAGCATAACAAAAGTGTTAAAATGGCAGTGAAGACGGTCGAACGTTGGGATATAACGATATGAAGTAATAAATGAGAATAAGCAATGTTAGTGTACAGTTTAAGTAATAAATAAGTCATATAACATGATTACGTCGTAAATCACTATATTCGTGCTAACATTTTCAAGAGGATTAAATGTATCAAGTAGTTATCAAACATGGTATTTTTCTTATTACGTTTCGCAAAGTGATAATTATTTACACAGGATTTCTCCTCCTTTTTTGAGGGACGAAAATTTTGCTAGTTTAATTTATCTTTACCTTGAAGTCTGGTGATTGTCTCTGTAAAGTAAATAAGGTTAGTCACTGACTTTCATCTCAAATACACATTAATTTCTTCGACCAGTATTAGTGGCTTAGCATACATCTAATTGGCGTATACATTCAACCATTAGAAAGTTTGTGAATCACTGGAATCTTTGTGCTATTTGTTTATTTACTAAGCCAATTGTTCTACTTTTTAACTGATGACGTTCCCAATTATAGTTTTCTCTATATTTTTCGTTCTTGTAAGTTTCTAGTTTTCAACTACTTGAATAGGTCACAGATATATTTTTTGTAGTCAATCATTACTTACCGTTTGTAAGGTTAATGTTATAAATTTATTTCAACCGCTGAAAACTTTATCACACGAATGAGGTTACGAAAGATTCTCTGGTGTGTATAATCCTAGGGTGAAATTTCAAGTTATAATTCAAGGCTTATAAAGTGACTACGTAAATTATCCAATCAAATATTTATATATCATTTTGAGGGAGATTACCGTTTCCAAAACAATAAAATAGTTCTTACTGCTATAATATAGGCAAGGTACTCAAACAGCTAGCCGATTGCACTATTTCAGTGTAAGTACCCTATTTATATACCATTAGTTAAGCCTATGAGAATAAGTTGTAACTGAACTTCTAAGCCAATAAACTACTACGTTTCTCACTCAAACTCGAGATAGTGATAGTACTAATATCAATTTTCCGATCTATAAGTTATTGTTCGTCAGTTTATTACCATTTAACATAAGTTTTTACATATATTTATTTAAGTCTCTGGATGTAATACCTGATAATCATTTTTTGTTTGTAAGCTAGTTTTAAAATACATATTCAATAGTTTTGCTTTTTCCACGACCATTTCAAACTTTTAGATTCAATGAACCATCTAACTTGTCGTTTTTGGATGAAGAAAATTTCTGTATGGTTTCGAGTTTCCAACTTCATTAAAAATTCTCTCCTAGGGAATTAATTTGCAGTTCTCTAAACGCTATTCAAATATCAGTGACTTTAGAAGTGTACTTTCTAAGTCACACAATGTTCTGGTATTGACTGGTGCTGGTATAAGTGCTGAAAGTCATGTTCCAACCTTTAGAGGATCAGGTGGATTATGGAGGAATTTTTCTTCCCAGGTGATTTCTTTAAAAATAATTGTGAAAAAAGTTATTTGAAGGATCTTGCTACACCCGATGCATTTCATTCACATCCTGGTTTGGTTTGGGAGTTTTATCATTACCGTCGTGAAGTCGTCCGTCGTAGATGTCCTAATGCTGGACATATAGCTCTTGCCCATGCAGAGAAACAATACACTGAATGTGGTCGCTCATTCTTTGTCATTACACAGAATGTGGATGGCCTTCATGCCAAAGCAGGGAGTGTTAATGTATTGGAATTACACGGTATGTCCAAACGCATAAATAGTAGTTTCTCATCAGAATGTTTCCTGAGTTGCTACCATTGTTTACACCTTATTAAAGAATACGCGGCTATTGTAGACTTTTTCTTACAGAAATTCACTTGCAGTATTATACTAATTTAAAAATTCCAGAGAAGTATAGTATTTACATATTGTTCACCAAACGTTAACGTGGCTGAAAAATAAATGTATCTAATAAGAAACAACCGTAACTCAAACATTACACTTTATTCAAATCTAAAATGAAGCTTACGAAGAATCCCATGGTGATTAGTTGACAATATCTTCCAGATTCATGAATTCATTTATTTTGATTTAATCTGTATGTGTATATGTTTAATTTGTAAGATTGATGGTTGAGAATTAGACAATATCGTTGACAGAAAAGGACATTCATTCATTTTCTATATTCCAACTAATCTTCGATATGGTATTCACCTTTTTTTCAAACAACTGATATTTTTCTGTTTAAATTCACTGAGTCTCATCATATGATTTTTTCATCTTTCTGTGATATTAAGAGATATGGCAATGTGAGATAATACATTATTGAGATATCTTTCACCTCTCTTAGGAGCAACAATGCCAGGATATTTGGGATGCGTTTCTCCCCTCTAGATGCAACTCGTTGCTTCAGAACTGGTCTGCGTCAACACATGAACTAAGGATATGGAGTGAAGTAGCCGAACGCGTCGACAACTTCATTTGTCTTGGAAGTCTGATCAGCCCTAATGGGTTTGTGCCTGACGAAATCTCTGTACGGATTCAGAAAGCTCGTTTGGCACTTGCCAAACTGCGCAGCAGTTCGTTCTGTTCTACTTCACGGCTGCGAAACGTGGCCATTGAGAGTAGAAGATACTCGTAAGCTACTAGTATTTGACTATAGATGTCTTAGAAATATTGCTGACATCTGCTGGAATCACCGGGTAAATAATAGTGAGGTTAGACGCAGGGTATTAGGGGATGATGACAAACCATTTGATGAGGTTGTAAATCGTCATGGACAGATATCGTTGGGCCACGTGTTACGTATATCGGAACATTAATTACCACGGTGAGCAATGCTAAATAATGTTGGAGATGGTTGGAAGAAAGTTAAAGGCGGCCAAACCAAAACGTTGAACCAGTCCATAAAGTCACTAGCTTCTGGCCTGAGCCATGTTGGTAGATGGAGACTATCTGGTTGTGGTCCGTACGACAATCGTAAGTAGTGGTTGGAGACACTGTGTGACATGGTTCACAATCGATCACAATGGCGTAGGTGTATACACCCATTGTCTTCCCTTAAACTGTGAGATTAAAATTACTTTATTTCTTTACTTCTACGAACTAATTCTTTCTTCGTGTATTGTATCCTTATATAGAATTTTTGTTTCATATATTACTACCAATGAAGTAACTACTTTTATGAATTTGGTGTTCATCGTGTTGTTCTAATGAGGTGTTGCACCTTGGAACGATGCATATATGTGGCTTGTCCTACGTTGTAGCTGACTGACTGGCTGACTTCTCTGTTTCATCAATACAAGCGTAGCTCCTTAATTAATATCCTAACCTGTAACATATTATACTATAGATTTTTCAGTCGAATTTCCTTTTAATTCACAAATAAATGTTGTGGTTATAATACATTTAGTAATGGTCGCTTGGAGTTTTATGTACATTAATATCTTTTCATAACCGTTTCATCACCATTTAGACAAATTAGTCGATGCTATTACCTCAAAAAGTGAAATGTTCTAGGTCCTATAAATATTTAAACAACGATTCTGTTGATCCTGAATAATTCTTGCGTACATGTTTACAGACAGTCATTTTATCGTCAGTATTACTAACGTCATTGCATCATCGAATTTGAGTAACATTATGGGTAAACTAAAAAGTCAGTCATGGCCAACTCTGTCCTAAACGTTTTTCTGACAGTGTTTAGATCTTCCATTGGGCTCTGATGTTCAGTTCTCAAAGTCATTGTGTACGTTTGTATATGCAATAGGTCTGTGCGTGATTAATCTTTAGTATGATGAACTTTGTAGTCAGAATCTGATCTGCTTCAGCTTGGGCACCCGGGCAGTATCCTATCCCTCAAATAAATCGAATAATTTATGTGGCGCATATGTATTTGGTGCCTCCTTTTGCTTTAAATACTCTGGTAGTAAGGTAAGAAGACATAAACGTAGAGTTAACACAAAATTATTAGTAACAATTAAGTCTGGTGGCTACCCAACATCAAAATGACCCAACTTCAATGGTCGACATTTTAAAATCTCAAGTTTCATACCTTAAAGTTTATGCCTTACTCAACAAAATTGGCGTTTGTTTACTACTCGTTTCCGTTACTAGGTTTTTTAAATATATTAGCAGTTGAAGAAATGAAATACCCGTCTTCTAACCAAGCTTGACGGTGGCTTATGTGAAGCGAATTAATTTAGTCGTATCATATTAATGTTACCAGCTGACTTTAAATTCACAAAGTTGAAAGAATTCTGCTGTCTGTGTAGCATGTTCTGTTTGTTATAATCTAGTTGGATGAAAATATTTTTAATTGGCTCTTTCAGCATTTATAATCTATGTTTTGGGATACTTTTGTGTTGATCCTTTAAAGGAAAACTATATACTTAAGTTACATAATATGAAAATTTCATTTTTGTATAAAACTTGTCTTTTACTAACAGGAAACCTTTATAAAACACAATGTTTAAAGTGCAGTGACATTCAAGTGAATTTTGACAGTCCGATATGTGCAGCATTACTTGGTCGCGGGTAAGTAATTGATTTGTTAATTATTTTTATCATATTGACTATGATTTGAAAACGTTTCTTTTTCAAATGATCTTCACAGTTAATGCATACTGTATAATTTGTATCTCAGTTAATACATTTGACAATGTATTTAGTTATGCAAAAGGATAAAAATTTGTAAAATACTCGGTTCATAGTTTTATATATGTGACAGACTATATCGGTGAGCATATGCACAAGCATATATTTCAATGGAATTGAGTAATTCGTTTGAATGTTTGTAGTTTTCGATACAGTGCAATTTAACTTTATCTAATATCTAGTTATTGGTTAACTCCGCCTGTAGCTCTTATAGGGTTACTGCCGGTCCCAAGCCCGGGTAAAGGAGGAGGGTTGGGCATGGGGTTAGCGTCCCCATCCCGTAGAAAACTAACTCGCTAAAAAAACGCTTACCAGAAAAAATAATCCAAACCATTTAAACTCTGCCCTGGGAGTTAGAAGGTCTTCAGTTAGAAGAATTATGACGCTTCATGGTGAAAGCCGAGTTCCTTCGGAAGCCACGAGGCCGATGCCCCTTCTAACAACCAGAGCAAAAATTTTTATAGGTACATGGAACGTTCGAACAATGTGGGAAACCGGGAAGACCAGTCAAATAGCAATGGAAATGAGGAGATACAACTTAGCAGTACTGGGAATCAGCGAAACCCACTGGACCCAAGCTGGACAGAAAAGGCTAGCTACGGGAGAGATGCTGCTATACTCCGGTCACGAAGAGGACAATGCTCCACACACTCAGGGAGTCGCTCTTATGCTGTCCAAAGTAGCACGAAATGCACTTGTAGGATGGGAGTCTCACGGATCCAGAATCATCAAAGCATCATTCAAAACAAAGAAGGAGGGGATCTTAATGAATATTATCCAATGTTATGCACCCACCAATGATAGCAACGACGACATTAAAGATCAGTTCTACGAGCGGCTGCAGTCAATCATTGAGAAATGCCCAAGAAAGGACCTAACTATTCTGATGGGAGATCTAAATGCCAAAGTCGGAATAGACAACACTGGATATGAAGATATTATGGGACGACATGGACTGGGAGAAAGAAACGAAAATGGAGAAAGATTTGCAAATCTGTGTGCATTCAACAAATTGGTCATAGGAGGCACAATATTTCCACACAAGCGTATACACAAGGCTACATGGATCTCACCGGACCACACTACAGAGAACCAAATAGATCATATTTGCATCAACAAAAAATTCCGAAGGACAATGGAAGATGTGAGAACCAGGAGAGGTGCTGACGTAGCTTCAGATCACCACCTAGTTGTAGCCAATTTAAAACTGAAGCTAAAAAAGAACTGGACAAGTGGACAAACAGCACTACAAAGGTTCAATACAGCCTTCCTTCGAGATACTGACAAACTCAATGAATTCAAGATAGCTCTCAACAACAGGTTCCAAGCCTTACAAGATCTACTGAAAGAAGAAGAAACTAGTATGGAGGACAACTGGAAAGGCATCAAGGAAGCATTAACTTCAACGTGTCAAGAGGTTCTGGGCCTAAAGAAACACCATCATAAGGAATGGATCTCTATGGAAACACTGGACAAGATCAAAGAAAGGAAGAACAAGAAGGCAGCAATTAACAACAGCCGAACACGAGCAGAGAAAGTCCAAGCACAAGCTGAATACATAGAAGCAAACAAACAAGTGAAGAGGAGCATTAGAGCCGACAAGAAGAAATACGTGGAAGAACTAGCAACGACGGCAGAAAAAGCTGCTAGAGAAGGAAATATGAAACAGCTTCACGATACAACGAAGAAACTAGCAGGGAAATACAGTAAACCAGAGAGGCCGGTCAAAGACAAAGAAGGCAAGCCAATCACCGAAATTCAACAACAGCGTAACAGATGGGTAGAATACTTCGAGGAACTCCTGAATAGGCCGGCTCCAATGAATCCACCGGACATCGAAGCAGCACACATAGATCTTCCTATAGATGTCAACCCACCAACGACGGAAGAAATTAGAATGGCCGTCAGACAAATCAAGAACGGGAAAGCAGCAGGACCCGACAACATACCAGCTGAAGCACTGAAATCAGACATCGAAGCAACCACAAGCATGCTATACCTTCTATTCAAAAAGATTTGGGAGGAGGAACAAGTGCCGATGGACTGGAAAGAAGGACACCTCGTCAAGATTCCAAAGAAAGGAGATCTGAGCAAATGTGAAAACTACAGAGGCATTACACTACTGTCAATACCAGGGAAAGTCTTCAACAGAGTGTTGCTGAACCGGATGAAGGATGCAGTAGACGCCCAACTTCGAGATCAACAAGCTGGATTCCGTAAGGATCGGTCGTGCACAGACCAAATTGCAACACTACGGATCATCGTCGAACAATCAGTTGAGTGGAACTCATCACTATACATCAACTTCATTGATTATGAAAAGGCATTCGACAGTGTAGATAGGAGGACATTATGGAAACTTCTTCGACACTACGGAGTTCCTGAGAAGATTGTCAACATTATCCGGAACTCATACGACGGACTACAGTGCAAAGTAGTGCATGGAGGACAGCTGACAGATGCATTCCAAGTAAGGACTGGAGTCAGACAAGGCTGTTTACTCTCTCCCTTCCTCTTTCTTCTGGTGGTCGACTGGATTATGAAGACCTCGACATCTGAAGGAAAACACGGAATACAATGGACAGCTCAGAATCAATTAGACGATTTGGACTTCGCAGACGACCTAGCCCTCCTATCACGTACACACGAACAGATGCAGATGAAGACAGCCAGTGTAGCAGCAGTCTCTGCATCAGTAGGCCTCAGCATACACAAAGGGAAAACCAAGGTCCTCAAATTCAAAGCGGAGAACAGCAATCCAATCACTCTTGATGGCGAAACTCTGGAAGATGTAGAGTCCTTCACATACCTAGGAAGCATCATCGATGAACAAGGAGGTTCAGATGCAGACGTAAAGGCGAGGATCGGCAAAGCAAGGGTCGCATTCCTACAATTGAAGAACATATGGAACTCAAAACAACTTTCAACCAATATCAAAGTGAGAATCTTCAATACGAACGTCAAGGCAGTTCTACTGTATGGAGCTGAAACTTGGAGAACTACAACAACCACAATCAAGAAAGTACAAGTATTTATAAATAGCTGTCTACGCAAGATACTCAACATCCACTGGCCGGATACCATCAGCAATAGCCTTCTGTGGGAGAGAACAAACCAACTTCCAGCTGAAGAAGAAATTAGGAAAAGACGATGGAAATGGATAGGACATACATTACGCAAATCGTCAAACTGCATCACGAGGCAAGCCCTAACTTGGAATCCTGAAGGGAAGCGAAAAAGAGGAAGGCCAAAGAACACATTGCGTCGGATAATAGAAGCAGATATGAAAAGGATGAATTACAACTGGACGGAGCTAGAAAGGATTGCCCAGGACAGGGTTGGATGGAGAATGCTGGTGAGTGGCCTATGCTCCTTCACGAGGAGTAACTGGCGTAAGTAAGTTATTGGTTGGTAAATTTTTCGATCTTTACTAATAGAGTTCGAATTTCAATTGTAAATCAGTCCGTTTAGTTTAGTGTGAGAAAATCGAATGTACAGTTAAAATCGCTAGCATAAAACTTCAAATTACATTAGTATTTGTGTAATTCATAGAGTTCTTCAAAGATATCTTTTCGTCAAAGTTTAATTATGAAAGTCTCATTATCGTTCGATTACTGTTATAAAATTGATCTACCTAGTTAAACATTGGTTGTTTCCAACTTCTATGAAACTATGTAAACGTGAATTCCTTCATTTTCAGTTCACCAATCGTTGAGATTATTCCATACAAGCCAATTCCTGCATCTCAGTTACCACGTTGTCAAAATCTTATTAACAGTAATATATGTGGTGGACTGCTACGACCACATGTTGTTTGGTTTGGAGAAAATCTTGAACCACATATCCTTTCTAAAGCTGATGAAATAGTTCAGAAAGCTGATGTTTGTCTGGTTGTTGGTACTAGTTCTGTTGTTTATCCCGCTGCAAGTTTTGCTCCATCTTTAGCCAACCGTGGAATTCCTGTCGCTGAAATCAATGTAGAAGTTACTCCAGCCACTCATTTATTACAGTTAGTGTTTTATCAATATTCCTTTTCTTTAACAATAATTATGGTGTTAGATTTTGTTATGTAATTACTTATAAATGTTAGAATTTGTTTCACTTTGACGTTTTATTTTATCACCATAAATTATTGTCATTCTAATCCATACACATTCCGTTAATTTCTACACTGTCCCACATTGTTAGTTAAAAAGAATATTGTCCAGTGAAGTCATGTACAATTAATAAGAAGCTAGTGGGAACAAAATTCACATAATTTAGTGATAAGATATTAGTTTACAAAAGTCAATTAATGAACAAAGTGACAAAACTATAACATATGTGTTCTATTGTTTGACTGTTATTCTACAATGACGTAACAAACATGGATTTTGGAAAGTAATAATTACCGAAAAAACCCATTTAGTTTAATGTTACCATATGTTATGCTCTCCTCTTTGTATCATAAAACCAAACGGTGTTTTCAGCTTACTTTCGTAATTGCTGCTCTTCAGTATTTTAGTCTTCGCTAGATAATATGTTGGCGTTCGAAGCAATAGATACTGGGTCCCAATCTCAGTATAAATTTTAACACGAGGGTGCTAGTTCATCTTAACTGATAATTGTCATTTAAGAGGAATTTAATTGTTAGCCTCTCAAAGATAATTGTTTTCATGGGAACGTTATAGTATTCCACTCGTTTCTCAATTTTCACTAGCCGTAATTAACTTTCTTATTAAGCGCATATTAATAACGATTTCATATGTTATTACCAGCATAGGTGTTATAACTCTTGTCTTCTTACGGTTAATGACCCAGCTATTCCTATTGCTTAGTATTCTCGGACACCGATTCACTCGACAAGTCCCCAAATCAAAACACGGTTGAACAGGAATAAGATTATATTCCAAATAGCAAGTCAGAAGCATAATAGGGAAAAACGTCAGTATATTTATAGTTTTTTACATAAGAAGATTCCAGAATATTCTCCGACTATCGACTGGTGCTGATTGGATAAGAATCAGCCAATCAGCGTGCAGCAAAGCAATCATGCATTGAGCATGCTTTAATCTAGTCTATGTCCCGCTAACACCTCCCCTCTGAGCAGATTCGTAGGATCTGGTGCTAGGGTCCAACTGCAACCGAGTGACTGGCCTGTGCTTTCGATTAGTCCATCGTCTAGGCAATAGAGAAGTATCACTCTTTTCTTGCACAGAAACTGACGTGTCTATTCCCGGCGTTTTGATTTCAAAGGTGTCTAGCAGAACATCAAGAGGTAATCGATATTGAATCTTGTTGCTGGCTATCGAAGTTGCTTTCAATTGGTTAGCATGACGTACCCAAACTTCCGAGCCAACTGACACCTCGTAAACCACACTCCCCTTCTTTTTCAAGATCCGACCAGCTGTCCATGTAGGATGTTTCCCACGATAGTCCATAGCAAGCACTTTTTGTCCCACCGTGAACAATCGTCTTTGTGCCCCATGATGTCGGTTAAACTGATTCTCCATCGATAGGTTTCGTTGGGGTTCAATAGCTGGCGTAGGACGGATGACATCGGAATGTGTTCGTATCTTTCTTTTCAGTTTTTCTAGTAACCTTTCACCTGTCTTCTTTGGAAGTACTGGGGTGTCCAATGATGAACACGATACGTTACAGACACTGTTAATTGGTACATCCATTATTCCAAGTTTGTCTAGCATATCTAGACCAAGAAGATCAAGGTTCGGCCGTTCTGTTAGGTAACATATTCCTGTACAGTTAGTTCCATTGAAGGAAAATTCACACTGTAATTCACCAACCAGTTTTAGCACACCACCTGATGCGTTTTTAGCCGTTTTCTTAGATGGCTTCATTGGCGGTTTACCCAGCAAGTTATACGTTTCTCTAGACACTAACGTGATATCTGATGCCGTGTCAATTTGAAGACGAGCTGATATGCCGTTTATCTGGATGGTAACATACTTTCTCCGAATGTCATAGTTTGTTTGAAAAGCAGCTACCAGAGAAAGAGATTTAGACTCGGCTGATTTCACATGTCGAGGACGTTTATGCTTCTTCTTAGGCTGAGACGTACGCTTCGGTGGACAATGACCTTCTTTATGTCCACGTTTGTTGCACTCCTGACATTTATGCTTCTTGAATGGACAGAATCGTGCATAATGCCAATCACCGCATAACCAGCATGCAGTCCTTGGTTTGTTACGAGTTGTTACCGGCTTCTGAACTTTTAACCTAGTAATAGTATTTACACTACCGCAGGTTAATTTAGGATTTACCTGTTCAATCAACTCGTTGTCGTGTCTGATGCTTTGTAGACGCTTACACTCATCTGTCAATGTTCTGAGTGTGACGTTTGGGTCTTGATCCAGTCGAGCTAAAAGTCTCGTCCTGATCTCAGCATCTTGTGGTGACTGAAGAGCTTTGATGAATATTAAGCATTTAAATTGGTCATCAGTCAACGAGCGTAACTTGAAACGTTCACATTCTCTGTTGACAATGTCTGCTAGAACACCATATTCATCAGCTTCGCGTTTCACCAAATTTAGACACCGATAACGAATACTAAACAACGAGGATGACTCGCCGAATATCTCTGACAACTGAAATACCGTCTCCTCGAAACTGAGCTCTCGAGGTAACTTTGGCAATATATGGTCAGCAAAACGTGCATGTTCACTGCTTCCCAACTTACGTACCAACAATCGGGTCTTCCACGCATCGTCTTGGTTACAGAATTCTGTTCTAAATGTATCTTCCCAACGTTTGAACCACGTGAGAAAAGTATTTCCACTTTCGGGATCATAGATGAATTCTGGGATGCTGCTAGCAACTGCATCACAAGACGTACTTAAAATAGCATGTGAACCCGAGCTGTGAATGTTGAGCTGTTGAGTCAGGGTCTCTAACAACCGCATTTGTGCATCAAGTTGTGCTTGCTGTTGTTGTAGTATTCGGTTAAGCTGGTCATCTGATATAGGCATCTTGAATTTGTTTTCCTTTTTCCCCGTCGCCACTGTTATAACTCTTGTCTTCTTACGGTTAATGACCCAGCTATTCCTATTGCTTAGTATTCTCGGACACCGATTCACTCGACAAGTCCCCAAATCAAAACACGGTTGAACAGGAATAAGATTATATTCCAAATAGCAAGTCAGAAGCATAATAGGGAAAAACGTCAGTATATTTATAGTTTTTTACATAAGAAGATTCCAGAATATTCTCCGACTATCGACTGGTGCTGATTGGATAAGAATCAGCCAATCAGCGTGCAGCAAAGCAATCATGCATTGAGCATGCTTTAATCTAGTCTATGTCCCGCTAACAATAGGGTTGTGGAGATTGTTCGCACGCAAGACCGATTGTCTTGGATTCGAGTCCTATATGTGGGATCGTGGATGCGCACTTCTGAGGAAGTCCCGTACTAGGACGAGACGGCCGTCCAGTGCTCCCAGGTTTTCAGTGGTGTTCTAACATTGATGCATTGATGATATTAATTTAATCGTTAGAAGTACTTATTAACAAGTTATTCTTTCCTTCTCTCAACATTACATCATTATTCTATTTCAGATACCATTTTCAAGGAAAATCTGGTGATATTCTACCGAAACTATTTGATTCCTTAGCCTTAACTTAGTCGATATGATAATTAAATAATGCTATTTTTGTATGTATCTACCTTCAACTTCATTTATTTGTTTTGTAATCTTTGTTTACGTTGAATCTTTTGTATAGTCTATTCTAATTACACTTTCTATTGAGATATCAGTTGGACAAAAAGAAAGAAATCAGCATATCATAAGATTATTTTATTGTGCTTTCTTTTCAGAGAAGTTCGCACCAATGTGGCTGTTATTTTTTGTCTATTTCAAACAGATTATATCTTTTGTTTTGTTCCCAGAAGTCATATATGAAAGAGAACTATACTTTTATCGGAAGGGGGGCTTCCTATTCCTTTTTCATCAGCCGAGATTTTCAGCTTAATTTGCTTTTTGTGCTGTAAAGCAAGATGTCACCTGGCCCCTTCCTAAACGGTAATATTTCAGTCGCAATTTCATTTATTTGTTTGAACACTTAAGTATTGGTACAAAGAGGAACCGATTACATATGCATCACACAAGTCACTTGGTTTGTGTGTGGTCTATGATTCTGCATGAGTGCCCAGGTTGAAACAGGTGGTTTTTTAGGGGGCCACACCTCGAGCCTTCGACCTAAAGGTTTGATCCACAAGGCAGTGAAGCAACGTCAGGAGATGCAGTCCCATGGTAGTCGGTGACCAATAATTGGTTCATACGCCATTTCTTTCCTTAGGATCCTGAAGTCCATGTACACGATTGATTTAGAATCAGGGTTTCCCGACTCCACTAGGTGGACTCTCCGTGTTTACCAACTGAGTTAAAGCACCGGACATTTCACTTTTCGTCCTCTCAATTTCGTAAACAACACCCCCGCTACGAGAAGGTAATGAGTAGGACTTCCGTGGCAGTGACTATACTTGTGGCTATGTGAGAGTATGTCGAGAGGTAGAGCTGACTCTCCCCACCCTCGGTCTTACCTGGGGAGCTTGCTAGCCTTCTACTATTTATTTTTCGATAGAATAAAGTTGTTAGCGAGCATAGTCTACGTTTGAAGAGAGTACCATAAGCCGTAACGGTAGTCATGGATAAGTTACTAGGATACAGGTAGTGATTGGTTATCTGAAATAAAACCGTATATTTTATTGTTCTTGTCATCAACCGAGCGATGACGATGAAATCAAAATTCTGTAAAAGGATTTCTTTTTAAACTAAGTTGTTTTGAACATGTACATTTTTCATAAATTGTAGTAATTGATAAGCTACTTTCCGTAGGGAAATGTAAGCAATTGATAGTCGTATAAGTTTATCAGGCATTAGTAATCAGTGCCATGTGTGTGTAGTCTTTAGTGTGGATTGAATTTGTTGGTCAATTTGCAAAGTAGCCACTAGTCTAGAAAATATGTAGCTTTCATATCAGGTAGTTAAAGGTAGCCGACAAATGGACACTCGAGTTTTGAATGACTCAATGCTAACGTCTTGGATACAAGCTTGATGGCCTCTTTCGACCTTCAGTGCGAGTATCTATCCTCTCGAGATTTCAGGTAAGCCTTACTGACGAGAGTAAACTAGCAGGAAACTTAGCTCTAGAGTTTCTTACCAGCTAACTCTAGCCACCTCTCAGTCGATACTCATTATAACAACCAGTAAAGTATAAATAACAACAAAATATGTTGATTCATACCATTTCTATAGATAAAGAATCGATGTCAAATTCATAAATCTGTTAACTAGAGATATTCAATAGATGATTTATTCCCTTACTTAACACTGATGTTACTAGAAATACCATGTAAGTTGACACCAGAAACACTTCACAGTTAAAACAAATTTTGGAAAGGGAATGGCGTGATTTATAAGCGTGTTAAAGGTAGATATCGAGCCAAATTCGTCCACCTAAATATTATCATTCATTTTATGAATAGGCTTTCTCTTTCATGAGGTCCTATAGGACGAACGAATTGTATAAGGATTGAATCGTTTTCCTTAATAGCACTCATTAGGTTTCGGTCTTGAACCCCACTTCACCCCTTTATTTCTAACAGGCGATAATCATCACTAGTCTTTACATAAAGCTTTGAGAAAAATGTAATACGCAATATTTTGTATCGAATAAATGAATTACATTAAGTTTCAAATTAATCAAAACACTTGACATTCAAATACTCGTTTAGTATAGAAATAACTTCAGCTGCTCTGTTGCCCATGTGATTGTGTGATCTGACTCATTTAGTGAATATCATTATACGTCATGTCATGGAATGAAGAACTAACACAAAAACTACTTAAAAGTAGTTCACATTTTAAAGGTAAATTTTATGTGGCCTAACTGAGAAGTATGATTGTATGTTGGCGAACAAATTGTAATTTGTAAGCTCTCAGACAAATTAAGGTGGATTATATAGTTGTTCGCATTTGTTGAAGGACGGCGTTTTTAAACCTGGAATTTTCGGCATTTATTTACTTCTAAACCTGTATGGAATGAATCCTAGTTGTTCACTACATTAAAATATTTAATTTTTTCGTAGTCAATGTATAGAAGATTACTAATAACTTGATGTTACAAAATAGGTGAACCTAGAATTCCATGTAATGCCGAATAGTATAAAATATATCCAATATGTGGAATTTACTGATTCCAAATTTATATAAGAAATCATCCTGAAATGACTTTTGTGTAGATTCGTAAAAAATTATTCATTCTACTTACAAATTCTGATATGTTTTGCTTCGTTGTTCATGCTCTAGTTCGATTAGACTGTTAATACTGATACATCTATTGTCGTAAATATCTACCTTAATCATAAATGATCTAAGAGAAACTGTAAACTAAATGTACCTCAATTTTTCATTCTAGTAAAAAATTCCTCATTTATTCCATTTTAATCACTAATATTTTTCAATACACGGTGGAAGAAAACAACTAGCAGAGTAATTCAACGAAATAAGGAGAAAATAACTGCGTGGATAGAAGAAAGATTCTTTTACATACTGAGATTTGTCAGTGAGTCTCGTATCTCTGTAGAATAATAATAAATTATATTCTGAAACTAATAATTACAGAATTCACGCCAGTTCACAGGCATGATCAATTTGATATAAATAGTAACAGATGTACAGAGCAAACATGTGGTAGAAGAAAGTTTTAAGTATACTAGACCAGTAATTGTTTAGGTAGTACATGTATTACAGCGATCCAATGCATCAGCCGGGAATTTTTAATATTTCTTAAATGGATAGCCTGTTGATTTATGAATGGAGTAATTAAGGTCATTTCATGTGTCAGATCGAACTAATGACAATTATCTACAACTAAAGAAATTAAAACGAAAACAGAGGGCACGGAATTACCAAAATATATCAGTCAGGTCTACCAAAATCATGTATCATAGTGATATACTGTTATTGTTATTCAAATTAGTTAAACTTGCTGGGAACGGTGTTAACATAAAATGACATCAAGTAGGTGGTTTTACTTAGGGAATACACTAATAAAAATGGCTAAAAATTTAAAGTTCCTATAATATCACTTGTGGAATCAGATACACTTACAAGCGCTAGCACATCCAATGCATTTTAAGAGGAGCAGTATGCATCGATGCAGCAAATAAATAATGGGAGTGATTTTATCGTACGGATAGATTGTGGTAGGTTATTCCAGAGTCTAGAAAATTTACAGGTAAAGTAATTCATATATACATATATATCGAGAAGTATTTGATGAAACTAATTTTATTCTGCATTTGAACAGCACGAGTAATCGGTCTCATAAATAAAGTATATAGTGTCGTAAAATATTTTTCAGCATATAATGAATTAACTCAGGATATCAGTTTCAGTTTGGGAAGGACAGGAGGCTCGATGGCCTATGTTAGTCCTGGCAATGGTGGTCTCTCAGTTGATCCAACTTTCTTTTGAAAGAGTCGACGGATGGAGCCTCAACCACGTGCTGAGGTAGTGAATTCCACTCGTTGATGATTCGATGGGAAAGTCGATAGTCAGCTGACAAGTAATTTGTTCTCGGCTTGTGAACTTTTTTGGAGTGTCCTCGTAAATTCTCTGTTTTGGAAGACAAGAAAAATGAGGGCATGTTAGGTGCAAATTTATCACTAAGCAATTTGTAGACTGTAATCAAGTCGCCTCTAGTTCTGCGATATGACAACGGGAAAAGGTTCAGCTTGGCCAGTCGAGATTCATACGGAAGCTTCGCTATTCCGGGAACCAGCTTAGTCGCCGTTCTCTGAACCTTTTCCAGAAGCTCACTGTCTTTTTTAAAGCAGGGGCTAGCCGCTTGTATGCAGTACTCAAGTTTAGGACGAACGAACACTGTATACAAAGTCAAAAACGTCTTACGTCGACATGACTAAAAGCCCTACGTATTGACCATAACGTTCTAAAACTTTTGGCGGCTATTGCACGGCAGTGTGCAGTAGTCTTTAAGTCTTGACTAACGATAACTCCTAAGTCATTATATGTCTGGACGACAGGTAGCTCAGTGTTATTCATCGTGTATGTATCTGTGCCTTGATGACCGATATGCATCACAACACACTTGGAAGTATTTATCGGCAACTGCCATGTTTGAGACCATTCAGATAACTTCTTCAGGTCATTTTGAAGTTCTAAGCTATCACTCTTACATCGTATCGTTCTCCATATCTTGACATCGTCAGCATATAGCAAGACCGATGATGATAGGAGACAAGGAAGGTCATTTACATACAAGAGGAATAGCACTGGCCCCAAAACTGTACCCTGGGGCACTCCACTAAGCACAGTTTCCCAGCTAGATAACTTTGAGTTCACCCGAACTCTTTGTTGACGCCCAACTAAGAAGTCTTTTATCCACATCAATAAATTGCCTCCAATCCCGACTTTCTTAACTTATATAACAGCCGGTTGTGCGGAACTTTATCAAAAGCTTTACTGAAATCAATGAAGGCGACGTCTACAGGTAGCTTTTGGTCCTTAAGAGCGCACCAGCTTTCACGAGCCACTAATAAGTTAGTGAGACAAGAATAACCTATTCTGAAGCCGTGCTGCTTCTCCGAGAGGATCCGGTTTTTATCGAGATACTTAAACAGCTCCTTCCGAATAATCTTTTCTAATATTTTAACAACCACACTAGTTAGGCTAACGGGGCGGTAGTTCTCAGGTTTGTGTTTCGTACCTGTTTTGAAGACAGGACTTACTATGGCGTTTTTCCAATCTTTCGGTAAGCGACCCTGCGTAACGGATAGGTTAAAGCATGTACTTAAAGGGTTCGCAACGAAGTTAGATAATTCCTTCAGTAGCCTAGGATGTAATTCATCGGGCCCCGTGGATTTACCTATGTCAAGCTTATTTAGCAGACCAAAGACATCGAGTTCTTTAATGGTCACGCTATCCAGTGTATGTATGGGGGGATCTGTATACGCTGACGGGAAGGGTGCTTCTATGGTGTATACATTGCTAAAGTAGTTTGAGAACACTTGAGCCTTACCAAAGTCGTCCTCC